TGATAGAAAATGAACCTACGAACCATTAAAATGACTTCAGTTTGTTTCCAAATCATCAGAATTTGTACTTGCAGTTTGTTTTGATCACTTGAGTCACACCCTCGTGTCTGTCTTGGCTTGTCTGGACTTTCAGTTGCAACACAGCAGTGCAGCTTTGCTTGCAGCTCTGACACACTGCGCAGACTTTACCGCCTGGTTGGCCAACTGCAGCTTAACAGATACGGGCTGACGTCAAAGGTGTAGATGACCTCGAATTCCCCACAATACACCGGGCTTTGTTTACTGCCTAGGTTTGCATATGTGATAACTGGGTAACGTGCTCAGATAACAGGCGCAGACATTTTAATGCACCAGTGTTAAAACTGTGCAAAAGACGCATCTGTCTGTTTTCATGCTTGCATGTTTTCACTCATGATTTGTTGATTGTGCTTACTTCATGCATCTGCTCCAGTGACAGGAATTGGTTAAACTGGCACAATGAAATAATGAGATTTGTTTAAAACTATTCGTCCTACTAAGAATCACCTGCTGTACATCTGTGACTGTCTACACATTTTCACGTTCACCTTTTAGTCTTTTCTAATTTTGAGCTTACCGCCTGGGCGCTCTTCAGACGTTAGTGAATATTCCCACTGTGCAATGTGAAAATATGAAATTTTGTGATGTTTTCTACAGGTAGGGCAATATGATGTGGCATACTGAGATACTAGTAGAGGTTTAGTTATACCACCATGCCGTTATATATATTTAAATAACTGGATTAGCCAAGACATTCTTATCAGGTTATTTTATATATAACCAGTTTGTCAATAGAAGTACCAAGAAATTCCCTACATCACAATATACAGTTTATTACTGATGCAATATAACAATTTTATCTACATCATCCACTCCTACTTGAGGTAATTCAACCAGAAGACAGTTAGGTTTCAGGAACATGTTTGGTGGTTAATGTCTGCGGTGTGTGTGTGTTGTGTTTCTGCAGACTATGTGAAGGGCTTTGGGGGAAAGTTTGGTGTGCAGACGGACAGACAGGATAAATCGGCGCTGGGATGGGACCACCAGGAGAAACTACAGCTCCACGAGTCCCAGAAAGGTACTGGTTCTGATTTGGTTTCTATGGGTTTTAAGGGAGAGACAGTGTGTGTGTGTGTGTGTGTGTGTGTGTGTGTGTGTATACCCAAATAAGTATAAGAACAAGTAAACTGCAAATGCCTTTGTCAGAATTATGATGCCACATCAAATGTAAGCCAAAGCTGATGGTTTCAGTTTTTAATGTTCATAACCAGGGAGAAGAATCGACACCAGCTAAACACCAGTCACCTTCAGCTGAGGCTTGTCAGTTTGTATACTGTCCTCTAGTGTTGTAGTCAAGACCGGCCAGACCGAGACAAGACCGAGATCATCAAAAAGTGGTCTTAAGACCGGTCTCGAGACCAAGTACTACAACACTACTGTACTCGTTGTAGGTTTTGATCAATGGCTCATTGTAAATATATCAAAGGAATAGTAATTAGCTACTGGATGATAGAATCTATCATAAATGATGTATGTTGTTGGTTATAAGGAATTTCCCTTTTTCTGACTAAACGTGGAATATTGGCCATAGAGCTTCTTTATATTTCCTTTTGTTGCTGTTTTCTACCAAAGGAGAAGAAACGCTGATAGCCACACGTGTCTCTTGTTTAAATTGTTGCACATCAAACTCTGCATTTGACATTTTCTAGACCTTTGAACGGGGAGAGTACCCACCAAACCTCAGCCTTTACAAGCTGTCTGCTTTGAGTTTAGCACACAGTGTGTTTACTGTAAAACCTCTCTTCCTCCTGAGCCCTGCACTTCAGCTCTGATGTGGTTTTATTGTGGCTTTGGATGTGGTCTTTCAAAGGTTGACAACTTCCTCAATCTGCGGGTTTAAAAAAGGCTAAAATAGAGGAAGTGAAACCACAGCTCAGATTTACGTTTGCATGTCAGGCTTTTAGCGGATGATGTCATACAGAGGAACTTAGATGTTTTTTTTTTACTACTGCACTTACTCTAAGTGTTCAAAACTAAAAGCCATTTTATTTAGTTTTTGATGAACAGTTTAGACATTCAGTGTGGCCTGCATTGATCTGCAACTTTCCCAAACTCATAATCTGACCGTGCAGCAACTGAACATGTATAAAAATGCCCAAAGCTCCAGTCACTTCACAACCTCTGTCGCTCTCCAACTGACAGCAGTAGAGGCATGGCTCTCTGAGAGAAACTGAAATTGAGAGAGAGAATTCTGAAGCACAGACGGGACAGATGTGAGAGATGACCTCCCTTCTCCGCCGGTTTGTGGTTTTGAATTTTTAGCCTTTTTGTTGTTGTTTTTTTGGTACCAGTATGTAAACGAAAGAGTTTTAAAGCCTGCTCATGTCCCGCTATAAATGGTCTCCATTTTGGGCCAGGTGTCAAGCAGTGTACAGCTTCATGTAAACAGAAGTAGAACACAAGACTAGATTTTTTACGTCTTCCTGTGGCTTCTGCCAAATGTAAGTTTAGATTCTAGTTCACAGCCAAATGGGATGTGTATTAATACGCCACTAAAACTTTTTTTAAATATAATAAATAAATTGGTGGTAGACATTGTGTCAGTCAACATATCCAGTCACTAAATGTCACCATTTCCTCCCTGAGAGGGGTCAAGCAAAGAAATGAAGCAGGTACAGAGGAGGGAAAGATTTGTGTTGTGCAGAGAGAGGAAGTGACTGCAGCAGAAACGGTTTTGCAGGAAGCAGACCTGCTGAAGAGAGTTTATGCTAGAGCTTTGACCACAGACCTTGATCATGTTTAGAAAGAGCTCTGCAGCGATTTTAATCAAAGGAATCCATCATCAACATCATGTAAAATAGAAGATTCCTCTTTTTAAATCTGTGTCTCCACATCACTGAGCGTGTTTGTGAATCGTGAAAGGCCTCTCGAGTGTCTCGTTTTCTCTGTGTCTGTCTGTGTGTGTGTATATTACATGGTTGTGTGTTATGTTGCAGACTATAAACGTGGGTTTGGAGGGAAGTATGGGGTAGAGGTGGAGAAGCAGGACCAGTGTGCCCTGGGCTATGAGCACAAGGAGAGCCTGGCCAAGCACGAGTCCCAGAAAGGCACAGATACTCCCTGAACACAACACCTTACCCCACCATTTCAGAACCCCCTCCTGCTCCTTACCCACCCTTCTCCAGAAAACAAAATCCGTGCTCCAAGCTTGATACTCTGTCCTTCACACCGTCCTCCTCATCCTCAGTAATGGCTGTTTTCTTTTAAGTCACAGACCCCTTCTGTCAGAAACCCCCACCCGTGCCACACCCTGCCACCTGTGCAGCACCAACCGATTTACAATGAGCACGTCTACATGCACGATGTAGACGTGCTCATTTTCAGCTCGTGCAAATTAGAAAAAGGGTGTTTTCTCACCTCTGGCAGCATCCTGCCATGCCGATGGTTCTGGCTTGAGACATCTGCTGCTGAGACGAACGCCAATATTTTTCCAGAAACCAAGTCTCAGTTAATCAAAATGATCTGATGGTCAACATTTAATATTGGTACTGTTTCTTTGGTAGAAAATGTAAAATCAAAGCTGAGGTTCAAAGTTCATCCTTGATCCTGGAAACACACCAGGAGGTCTATTTACTAGATTTGTTGATCACATCACATGATATTCATCAGCAGATGAGTTCAATAAAATGGAGGACTTCTCATGCATGTTAAAAAATAGCTGATAGATAGATGAACTGATGAAAAGTTTCAGTGGCAGACAAAACAGAAACTATCTACATGTTAGTTTTAGTTATTTGCTCAGGTGTGGCACATTCCTCCTCCGAGCCTCTTTTTTTGTTGCTGTTATTGTTTCAACACTCTACCTGTATGAAATAGTGAGCACAGTTTGACCGTTTCCCGCTACAGACAGCTTTCGTTTTGGGCCAGGTGACGTCCGTCGGTATGCAGCTTAGTGTAAATATCCTACAAAACTACAACACGGGTTGGATGTAGAAATGCAGAGGTCTTCTTGTGGCATGGCCAGTTCCCACATTTATACAGCAGTATTTATCCTTCTACCCCCCCACCCCACCCGATCCCTGCTGTTTCTACCGCTGCCATGATGCTGTTTGTTTCCTTATGCATGCTGCTGTACGGCCACAGTACGTTTTATCAAGGCCTCCTGCTGTGACCACACAGTCATGGCTGATGCTCAAAGCCTGAGATTGAGCCAAGATGGCTGCTTGACCCCAACTGTTTGGCTTACATTACGACTCCCCCCTCAGCTCTTCTGCTGTCACTGTCTGCATTCAGTTTTTTGTTTCTCGTCTCTACAGGTTTGCATGAGCTCATCGGCCCGTCGTCTTGATCCCAACAGTTCTCTTTCCCAGTTCCTATGAAACCAACCACAGTCCGCTTCATCTGAACTGTAGCCGACCAGAGAAGCGCCCGATATGTCTCTAATAGTGTGCCATACTAAAGAATAATGAAAAGGCTAAACGGGACTAAATAGTCCTGTAGTTGTTTACGGTCTGTTCTGGAAAACGAGTTCTGGTGAAGCCGACTGTGGTTGAGTCATTAATGTAAAACACAAAGTGACTTTTACTTATCTGCTGTTTGTTACCAGATTATTCAAAAGGATTTGGAGGGAAGTTTGGTGTCCAGAATGACCGGATGGATAAGGTAAGGAGTGTTTGTGTGGTTATTGTGTAGTAAGTGTACAGAGCTCAGTCTTACGTCTCTATCCCTGTGGTTCAGAGCGCAGGCTCTTTCGATGAGCTGGAGAAGCCGAGTCCATCTTACCAGAAAACCAAACCTGTGGAGGCTGGTAAGCATTCGTTAACGCCTGCTGGGTTAGAATCAGAAGTTTAGGCAGCGCGTCGACTCTTCATTTCTTCATTCTCCAATTTTCCACTCATCAGCTGGCAGCAACACGGGGAGCATCAAGGCCCGCTTCGAGAACATCGCCAAGCAGAAGGAGGAAGAAGACAAAAAGAGGGCAGAGGAGGAGCGAGCGCGTCGTCAGGCCAAGGAGAAGCAGGAGCAAGAGGAGGCTCGCCGTAAAATCGAACAGACGCCCAAGGCCCCCTCTCCTGTCCCTGCTGCAAGTCCCAGCCCGACTCCCCCAGTCCTGCCTGCTGCCGCCCCGACCCACCGGGTGAGTCATGGTTTTACGGGATATTTCTGTGGTGTGGGCTTAAAGTGCAACTTTTCAGGCAGAAGACAAAGAATTTAGACTTTAGATATTACAAGGGATGGAAATGCTGCCACAGGTGAACTGGTTATGTGCTTAAAGTAGGTGGCGAGGACAGCCCCTTTCAGACAAGTGTGTTGACGGTGTTCAGTCTTCTCACTTAGAAAAGCGGCGATCATGACGCAGCACACGTGTTAATAATGTAGAAAAGCCTGTCAACAAAGATGCAGGTTGTTGCCTTTAGTTTGTCAGTGGAATTTAAGTTAACCTCTTAGTGGCGGCAGGGTTAGGGTTGGTTAGTTAGGGGTGAGGTAGTAGTACAGTGAAGCTGGGTTTTTACATGTAGCAGTACTTTACGCAGAAGATCTCACTTAAACAGAGTGTACGTTTGCCTTGTTAGAAGACAGAGGAACCGTCCTACGATGCTGCTGAGGAGAACGGAGAGCAGCTGTACGAGCCGGAGCCACTGAGCATCTATGCAGCGCAGGAGGACCAGGAACTCTACGAGACCCCCGTGGAGGCTCAAGCAGCAGGTGAAGTGTTGTTGGGGACTTTTGCCTGGATGTTGAACACAAACAGGCAAACATTTGTCGTTTATGCTTCACCCGTAACTCCATCCGTCGATCCATCGTCAACCGCTTATCCTGCGTACAGGGTCGCGGGGGGCCGGAGCCAATCCCAGCTGACCACACACAACTCGTTAGGATTAATCACTTTTGATTGTTGAAATTTTCAAATAAGAAAGGTTTAATTTTGGAGAAAAACTTGATTGACAGATTTACAGTAGAGTAAAACTTTGATTGTCCACAAAGGTAGAAAATTCTTTGGTCCATCTCGCAGTTCAGTTTATTATGTACAGCTAGCTAAATCTAATGTAGCGCAATACAACAGTCCTACAATTAAAACTACATTCATGAAGGCCTGGACTGAAGAACCAACCTTTCCTCAGCAACACTAACGCTATGAAAACTCCAAGTAGTAAAATACAGGACACACAACTTTAAAAAAATCTGGAACCTATTTCTATACATTTTGGTGTTGAAATGAGCAGCTGCAGCGGCTGCTACGGATTCCTTCGGGGCAATTAGGCCCTTCAAAAATGAGGTCCACAAAAGGTGCAATTCTCCTGAAGGAATACGTTCCACTGCGGATCCAAGACCTCGTACCTACTAGTTTTCATTTGGACCCAAAAATGTGAAAATGGGCCCTTTCAGAACAAATATTAAAATTTAGTCTCTTGAACAAGCCAATTACCTGAGAGATAAACGGCACCATATAAGCGTAGCTCGGCAACCAGTCGGTCTGTAGTCTCTTTACTTGGACTAACAAACCGTCGTCCTTTTGCAGACGGCCAACAGTACGAGTACGGCGAGGACCTCGGGGTGACGGCGGTGGCTCTGTACGACTACCAAGCAGGTGAGACTGAGCCAGTTTCATTTTGTGTCCCAGCTGCAACAGCTTTCAGTCACACCCGCATCTAGAAGATCAGAATGAGTGGTTTTGCGTCTGGGAGCAAAGTAAATGAATGCATTGCTTTTACGTAGCTTTCATTGTTGTATCTTTTTAGCCTTGAACAAAACTAGCTGACACAAACAGGAGCCCCTTTCAGACCTGCACCTCAGAGGCGGTCTGACGGCAGTCCAACATGTTGTTCACATGTACCTAAAAGTCATGACCAGTCTTGCTCTATTGGACCTGCAATGTTTCTAAGAATAATTTGGTCTTTTAATAAAATGAGAATCTCCCGCAGTGTCCAAAACAAAAGCAGTTTTAAATGATGGACTGAATTTGTGGTGCTCCTTCGTCATCGATCTGTCTCGTTTCAGCCGGCGACGACGAGATCTCCTTTGACCCCGATGACATCATCACCAACATCGAGATGATCGACGAGGGCTGGTGGCGAGGCGTGTGCAGAGGCGCCTACGGCCTTTTCCCAGCCAACTACGTGGAGGTTCGGCAATGACGACGCCCGCCGAGATGAGCCGCGTCCCTGTCCTTGTGCAAGAAAAGAAAAGAGGAAAGAAACATTTTCAAATCCATGTTCCTTTCCGCTCTTTTGTCTCTTCACCTCATCGTAGTGCGAGACATCCTCAGGTCTCCTGGCAGGCTTTCTTTTGCTCTTTCTTTCCTTCTCCATCCCTCTACCTACCTGTCTCATTTTCAGATCCCTTTGTTGGTCTTCGTGCAGCAGAAGACAGGGAGGAGGAGTTCTCTCAGAATAACCAAGAGAATTTATAGCTCTGGGCTTAAAGAGGCACAAAGCTTTGCACTTCTGTCGTGTAATAGTTAAAAGCTACAAAATGCAGCGTGGCTGTTCAGGGCTCGAGGTGACTTAACCTCCTGCCTCACAGCCAGACGCTGCATTTTATTTCCTTCCAGATACAGTAGAGTTCTGCTCACAAGGTGTTGATCAAGTGTCGGTGCTTCTTCACACATTAGAGAGGAATTTTAGTCCCACCGAAGTAATGACCGCAATGAGTGTTGTGCGCAGGGCTCAGGGTGCTCACTGTTCAATGGAAGCAAGGAGCGGTTAAAAGTGGAAAAGCACCCTCCGCTTCGGATGATAATGATGGCTATATACTGTCCAGCACATCCAGTATGGACCAAAACGCTGATAAACCCCTTTTGCTTCTTGGTCTGTGTGCGTAAATGTTGCAGTTTAAATTCCCCTCCCGATTGAAGCTGCGCTTGTTGATTTTCAAAGGGAAACTAATACGAATATGTTCTTCTCCTTCTGAACACTTGCATCAGTTGTAAAGCTGACGTTCGATCACAGATGTCAAAGACTTTTACCGCTGCTGTGGCCAATCACAAGCTAAACATCATACTGGTTAATCACGCTTAGAATCATGTACAGAGAGATGCGTTGAGAAATAAGAGATTTGAAGACATTTTTGTTCCCCGTCACTGTGGTTTTCTTTGGATGAGACTTGTGTATTTGTGTCTTGAATGCTCGGGGGGTTCACGATATGTTATGCCGCTCTGCAGCACAGCTAACATTGCTCATTGTGACCAAACTGTGTGCGTGCTGACCTTTCAAAATAAGTGATTTATCAGCACTGAGGGACGAGGCTTTGGTGTGTTCTCCAAACACTAATTATTTCTATCAGACGGCAGGTCTGTGGATCGCAGTAGTGTAGCGTTCATTAAATTCATCTTCGGGGTTTTATAATAAAAAGTAATAAATAATAGTGACCTTTTCAAATGCATTATTTTTATCTGTACCTCTGTTTGCTTGCGTCACATCATTACCTGCGTCTTCTTTTTTAGTTTCAATAAATAAACTGAATTTTAAGCTTGTTTGGGCTGCATTATTTTAATATCCTCAACCCTGTCAACATAGTCGCTCTAGAAAAACGTTTCTCTTGTTTTTTTACTTTACATTAACATACTTTTTATTGACACTATTTGGCAAAAGGACTTGCAGTAATTAATAATAGAAATGAACACAAATCAGGGCGCTGCAATGACACGTTCAACATTTAAAAGACTAATACGGAGTAATGTGAGGAAAGTCCGGGCCATTCACTTTCTACTCCACTACATTTAGGGATGAAATATTGTACTTTTTCCTCCATTTTTCTGACAGTTAAGATTAAAAACATATGGGATGATGAATTATTAGAGATTAAACTTCCCACAACTACATGCAGCAATTTAAATTAGCTCCACTTTGACAGGCTACAGGATTAAAATGCTGTTTACATGGTAATGCGTCAGTACTAACCTCATAAAAAGAAAAAAAACATCACTCTGTAAAATTACTTCATAACAAGCAAGTCAAACTTTTACATGAGTAAACGTACAGAAATATTAGAAGCTAATTGGACTGAAAGCATCCAAAGAAAACGCATCTGAAAAGTAACTAGCTGTACAGTATCATCCCTCTAAAAATAAAATGGCAATACTCAAGTACTATATTGAGGTTGTCGTACTTTCCACCACTGTCATTCACATACAAAACCTGCGACGGGCTAAACAGTAATATCATATATTCTGCCGTTACTTTTGATACGTTAAGTACATTTGCTGATGACACATCTGTACTTTACTTAAGTAAAAATATGGTCTGCTGACACTTTACCAGGTATTTTGTTCCCGATTGGCTCAGTGGACTCATGCAGGTTTGTTATGTGACGTCCATCGGTGACTGTGGGGAAAAAGCCTCACCGTAGTGAAGAGTTGCTGTAGTGCAGTGGACTGATGAAGACTCCTCTCCTGGAACAGCAGCAGCTCCTCCTCCTGGTTCATGTCTGGCAAACAAATTCATAACTAAATTCACAGAAACAACTTTCATTACAAAAGACTAAAAAGTAATTTACCTACCGAGTGTGGGAGTCTGGATATGTTTAAGCTGATATCAATACCTCATTCAATTAAAATTCCGATAAAGATATATTGGCAATATCTGTCACCAGTATTTACATTTCTTGTAAATGAAAGAAGTGGGTGGGAGGGGACAACGGTGAGTTGCCCTCAAACCTCTGTAGACAGTTTTACACCATTGTAATTATTTTATATGTTCCAATGTGTGTTTAGATTTTTTACTTTACTAATTTATTACATGCTTTTAATTCCACCTTTTTATTCTAACACTATTGTATATTTTAAATTTTATTTAGGTTTGAATGTGTGTATTCCAGCGTTTTTTTGGATTTTCTACTTGCATTTTGATTTTATTATCGGAATATAGATTTTATTTGTTTACCTTGTAAAGCTGCATTTCATGTCTGTATAAATAAAGATGATGGTTATTATTTATTATTACTGTTGGGCCTGCCACACCTGTTCCAAGTTGTGAGGCGGTCACCCTACTTATATCTGGGTCTGAGTGGAAAATGACACACACACAAGTTAATTAGGTACACTTATCTAAAACTAATGTCTATTCAACTGTATGGTAATAATCCACTGAGGCGCTACACCTCTCTGTATTATATACAGTTCAACAGCACCACAAACATCCTCCAAACGACCTTACAGTTGACCAGCAAGCAAGGTGTACCTAATAAACCGACACCTGCCTGTATCTGTTAGCTGAACATTCATTAAAGGAAGAATCTGGATGCTGAAGTGTTTCTTACCGCAGAGCTCTGTCTGTTTTGATAGAAGAGATTTCAGCACGTTATCCAGGAGCCTACGTATCAATCAAACTGTGGCTTGTTGCCTTGCACATAAATCTGAACCCTGCATATAAGCATACTCCACGGGCTATTTGTTCTAGAATCTGTGTGGGCCCTCCTCACATGAGGGCCCCCCCAGTCCAACACCCCTGGTTACTGTACCCTGCTAGTGTAATCAGTTACTCTGTGAGGTGGTCGCCCCAGAGGAGAGGAAAGAGCCACACCGTTTCCTAAACGTCAGACTTTCTTGAGAACCATATTATCGTCACCATCTGGTCACTGCCGTTCACATTCTCCCAGAGGCAAACTCAAAAAGTGCACTGCAGAATTACTTCATGGGGGCCTCTGTATGTGTACATGATGTCATCATATTCTAATAAACATTTAACCATCTGCTGAGTTCTGTGTGTGCAGCATGAAGAGAGTTGGCCTAACAATAAATCAATCAACAACAGTGTTTTTACTCAACATAGTGACCATCCACAGGGGCCTCACAAAAATCTTTTGCCTTCTCTATGGGCCCCTCCCGGCGCCCTCATGTGAGGAGGGCCCAGGGCCCGTATACTCAGTCCACTTATGAGTTTTTTTTCACTTTTCAGTCTGAACACACCACATTCAAAACGTGGGACAGATCAAGGACCCGAGGGGCCACAGAGAGCTTCATACAGCTCCAGGTTAGTGAGTGCAACCAACTGACCTAAAACAAGACACCAAGCCACAAAACACGTGTCTGCGTGCAGTCTCACCCACACACACACACACCTGATCTCTCTCTCACTTCAGCCTGCAGTCTCCACACAGACCAAATAAACCCGGAGACTCCTCAGATCCCAGCAGTATCACTCACTGTGGGGCCAAAACTCACAGAAGAAACCGCTGGAGAACAAAAACAACTAGAAATTGCGTCTTACCTTTGCTGTTTTTGCAGGGTTAGTTGCATAAAAACCCCTTGTATTTATTACTCCAATGCCGGGGCGCCATCTTGGACCAATTTCAGCCGGCTTCCGTTCATTTGCATCACCTGTGGAAGTCACAGGTGCTCCAATGATCCATTCAAGCACACGGCCTTTGTCGCCCTCTTGTGGCTGACTTGTAGTACTGAGACAATAACGCACATCACTGTGGGAGCTTTTATTTTACGTTTATCTGCCTCTATTGTTCTTCGGTCACAGAGATACTAATCAATATTCATTATGTTTATTCATATTTCAATGTTTTGGGGAGATTTATGTTATTTGTAACATGGCTACATAGAAATAAAATGTCTCAGCAGGACCTGGAAAAGCTTATCCATACATTTATCTTCAGTCGACTTGACTACTGTAACAGTGTCCTTACAGAGCTCCCTAAGAAATCCAGCAGACAGCTGCAGCTGATCCAGAACGCTGCTGCTCGAGTCCTCACTAAGACCAAAAAGGTGGATCACATCACTCCAGTTCTGAGGTCTTTACATTGGCTTCCTGCTGTTAGTTTATAAAGCACTAAATGGTTTAGGGCCAAAATACATTTCTGATCTTCTGCCTCATTACGAACCATCCAGACCTCTCAGGTCGTCTGGGATCAGGTCTGCTTTCTGTCCCCAGAGTCAAAACTAAACAAGGAGAAGCAGCGTTCAGTTATTATGCTCCGTATATCTGGAACAAACTCCCAGATAACTGCAGGTCTGCAGAAACTGTTAAATTAAGACTGAAGACTTTTCTTTTTACCATTGCTTTTAATTAAATATTTAAGATATTTCTTTAACTAGTAGATTGATAACTTACACTGCACTGTAACTTTAACTGTCCTGTTTTCTTTTTCTGTGTTTTTAGCTTTTTATTATTTTCCATTTAACTCTTTAAACCCTGATTGCAACACTGTAACTTTTATTATATTTTATGTTGCTTTTAAACTTTTACATATTTCCCTGTTGCTTTTATGTTTTATGTAAAGCACTTTGAATTACCTTGCTGTTAAATTGTGCTATACAAATAAACTTGCCTTGCCTAAACTCTCAGTGAACAGTCAACGTATATCTTTAGAAACTGCATCATGAATGGTTTTTAATGCCTTTTCATCAGTTACAAGTGTAGTCAAGGAGCAGGAGGATCAATTGCATTATTATCTACAGGATCTTGGTTGTAATGGTGATATTGCCTTTTAAATTTATATTTTAGAGTAGGCGAGGATGAAAATCCTAGATTTTCCTTTATTTCATCTATTTACTCTGGATTTACTTACAATGCTTTCATATTCCCTAGCTTCACACCTGTCAAAGGAGACCAGAAAGGTCTGGGCATAAAGTTTTCCTGTGCATAAATTAAAAAAAAAAGTTATGTATAATGAATCTAGAATATATGAAAGTTTCACTTTGTGACTTATATTAAAGAATCCCCACAGATCCTTTTAGTTTCCAATGTCCAGGTTTTGAGATTTGTGCTCAAGTACCCCAATTAAATGGAAGCAAACAGGAATATATTAGAGCTCTCAGCGATGATCGTCTACTTACAAATGATGCATTACAAAACTGAAAATAAAAAGATGAAATTTTTTACCTTTTAAATTAAGAAGGATTCTCAAGCTATTTCAAGACACACGAGCTGCAAGAAACCTAAATATTAAGTCCCGCTGACAGTATCAGTAGGAGCTCTGATTGGCCCCTGCAAACACAACAGCTGGCCAACCAGAGTTGCCACTCTGTCAGTGGGATTTGGTTTAACTCTAAAGTGAAAGATGTGTTAAAGTGTGCCACTTCAGAGATCCATCTTTAAAGTAAAGTAATAACGAAATGGAAACTGTAAATGTTAAGAGACAAATGAACTGTGAAACCGAATAAATCTAACGCGTCACTTCATTTTTAATAGTAATGTATTAAAATCCTAAAGACAGAATTTTAAATGTATTTTTATTCAGCCTTTTTCCTGTAAGGAAATACAAGTTAAATGATATTTGTTTTATAACGCATCATTATGCTCTCTTCGAACCACCCTGTATTGATGAAAGCATAATAAATATACACTTTTCACTCAGATACTCTTCTCTGTTCACCTAATTTAGTGATTTGTTCAAAAATGTTAAGAACTATAGCTTTTATTTTAATCCACACAAACGAGCGATCTTCATCCAGTGTCAATATGCTGCGCTGTAAAGACTGAGAGGGAACAACACTACAACACTAGTGCAATATTATATTTATTT